TAAATGTATTATCTTTCTATTACTAAAGATTAAATATCTATATTAATGAATATAACCAGTTAATACAGCTGTTTTGTTTAGTACAGTATTATTAAACAAAACTGTTTAGGCACAACATATAGTACAAAATAACATTCTTTCTAAAGAATAGAATAGAATAAAGTAGAGTGCAGTAGAATAGAACAGAGTAGAATATAATATAATAGAATAAAGTAGAGTAGAGTAGAATAGAATAAAGTAGAGTAAAATAGAGTAGAATAGAATAGAATAAAGTAGAGTAGAATAGAATAGAATACAATAGAATAGAATGAAGTAGAGTAAAATAGAATAGCGTAGAATAGAATAGAGTAGAACGAAGTAGATCAAAATAGAATAGTATAGAGTAGAATAGAATAGAATAAAATAGAATATAATGGAACAAAGTAGAGTAGAATAAAACAAAGTAAAGTGTAATAGAATAAAATTGAATAGAGTATAATAGAATAGAGTAGAATAAAGTAGATTAGAATAGAATAGAATAAAGTAGAATAAATTAGAATAGAATAAAGTAGAATAGAATAGAATAGAACAAAGTAGAATAGAATAGAACAAAGTAGAGTAGAATATAATAGAATAAAATAGAATAGAGTAGAATAGAATAGAGTAGAATAGAATAAAGTAGAATAGAATATAATAGAACAAAGTAGAGTAGAATAAAATAGAATAGAGTAGAATAGAATAGAGTAGAATAGAATAAAGTAGAATAGAATATAATAGAACAAAGCAGAGTAGAATAGAATAAAATAGAGTAGAATATAATATAATATAATATAATAGTGTAGAATAGACTAGAATAAAGTGAAGTAGAATACAATAGAATACAATAGAATAGAAAAAGGTAGAGTAGAATATAATAGAACAAAATAGAATAGAGTAGAATATAATAGAGTTGAATAAAGTAGATTAGAATAGAGTAGAATAGAATAGAATAGAATAAAGTATAATAGAATATAATAGAACAAAGTAGAGTATAATAGAATATAATAGAACAAAGTAGAGTAGAGTAGAATAGAATAGAATAGAATAGAATAGAATAGAATAGAATAGAATAGAATAGAATAGAATAGAATAGAATAGAATAGAATAGAATAACCAATCATGCCTACATTTCTATATAGGCGAGTAAACCCAAGGTTAAATTGTCACAGAAATGACCTTCCTTGTTTGCTGGGGGTCACTGGGGGCAAAAAAACCCCACCCCCATCACCACCAAACTCAGAGATACAATGGCTTAAGTCTAGTGGACCAGACTGAGACAGAAGAGACCAGCCGCAGCTTAACCAGACAGTACTAGTTAATGTATATGTCTGTGTGTGTGTGTGTGTTAATCCCATTACATTGCCCACAGTGTGTGTCCATTACAAATAATATACACGTTTCACATTTTACTACAAAACATATTTACACACTATTCATAAAGTGTGTATGTGTGTACAAAGTGTAAATACAGCACACGACCTGGCCAGTGTATGATATATATACACTAGTCAGCCTCTGTGAGTTTATATTCTCACAGTCAGATTAGCAGCACACACACACAAGCACACACACATACCGTAACTAGAGATGCACTTCCATACCTCTGAGCTTCACACTGTGTCTCCAGTCAGGTGTGTGTTTGCGTCTGCACTGCTTCTGTCTGAAAATGAAGACAGATGTTGTAGGTAAGAGAATATTTCAGGTTTAAAGAAGTCTTAGTTTGTTATGCAGCTAAAACAATCCCTTCATATTCAAGCAAGTGCAGTAACATTTCTATTTCATAGCGCTGTTATCTAAAGCAATTTGCTGCTCTCAATTATGAACGTGGCTGGTTACAAAAATAGCTTTTGTGACTGTGTTTTGTGATTTCTAAAACATTTATTTATTGCTTGATTTGATTTGTTATTGTGTGCTGTTTTAATTGTGCAGAGATAGAAATTAATTCAGCTCACAAATTAGGAAGGCAATTTGTTTTATGGACAGCTGAAAAATGTAACCTTGTCTCTCTTAGCTTAATTTATTTAATCAAAGGCAAACATTTGTGTAAACTAGAATTACAATTAGACCAATACTGCTCATTACTAATATTGTAAAGACATCTGACAGTGTTAAATATTCATTTATGTTTGATAATTGCTGATTTTCTTTTTATCACAATCTACTGTATTATCGCAGTACTTAAATGAATGCTAAGATTGTAAAATTTAATATAAAAGTAAAAAGTAAAAATAAAATAAAAGTTATATTAAACTAAAGGATGACCAAACTTCAGTGTTGTTTTCTTTTTAACCAGTTGAAATGTTTACACATAACAAAAACACACTATGCATTACCAATTAAAATGTGTAAATTGTCATTAATTGCATAACATATTGTCATTACAATTGCATTGTCATTAATTAAATTACATACCTTGTTATGACATTGCAATAAGGTTCTATTTGTTAATACATTTACTAACATGAATGAACAATTAACAATACATTCATTACAGCATTTGGTCATGCTAGTTAATGAAAATACAGTCGTTCATTGTTAGTTCATGCTAACTCACGGTGCATTAACTAATGTTAACAAACATGAATTTGGATTTTAATAATGCATTAGTTAATGTTGAACTATGATTAATAAATGCTGTAGTATAGTTTGTTGTTTTTGAGGGTTTGTAAATACATTAACTAACATTACTGAAACCTTATTGTAAAGTGTGACCCTTTAATCAAATAATTCTGTTGTTGGTAGATTTGATTTTGATTTTGTTCTTCGATAGGAAGTTACGTGTTGTACATTTATTTTATTTTTTTAGATAAAAAGTGTGCTCTAAAAATAAGTCTTAAAAAATCTGAGATATAATAATTCACTGTAATTTAAGGTAAATAAAAATAAAGGTCACGCTTTATTTTGATGGTCCGTTTGTTGAATTTAAGGTACATTGCATCTACATGCTATCTAATTCTCATTAGATTTAAGGCAGACTGTTAGGTTGGGGTTAGTGTAAGTTGACGTACTTGCAAAGTTTCTTATAGTCAGCTAAAAGTCTGTTAAAGGAGAAGTATCAACAGATATTAAGCAGACAGTCTACTCAAATGGACCATCAAAATAAAGTGGTAACAAAAAAAATATTTCATATTATTATTATTATTATTGCAATGTTTATGAATACCAGCAAATATCCATGTGCTTAACATTTTTGGTAATCATTCCTTACTTTTACACAACATCAAAACTGCATAAACTGCTTCATCAACTGTAGAAACACAATTCATTGTTGTCTCTACACAAATTGATAAAGTTAACTTAACACTTTTAACAAATTTATGTGGATTGAACATAAAAAAATGAAGTGGTCCCAATGAAATCTCAAAAATTGCATTGTTTTTAGCTCATTTTTAAAAAGTAGTTTAAACGAGCAAAAACAATTAAAAATGTTATGAGTGTATGAGAATGCTATTACCTTGAATATAACTAAGTGATATTGAATATTACCACTATTAGCTTTTTTCTTTAGCTATTTCCTGGACTAACTGAGAGATTTTGGAGGGGAATTAAAAAACAACAGAACTAAATACAAATGCAAAAGGATTTTTAAAATATAGTATATATTCTTTTCATACATTTTTATAGTTATTACGGGCAGATGTGAATGTGCTTTTGAGTGAGCAAAGATTAATTGAGAATTGCTGCATCAGATAAACCAGTTGAGAGCTGGGGAACAAGCGTGTGTAGAAATAATTTAGGATTAGATTGGGTGGCTAATCTCTTTATTGTGAGTGTGCAGTCTCAGCAGGGAGATGGGTTTCTCTCTCTGTCTTCCTCTCCCTCGCTCTCTTTTCCTCTCTCACAGCTTTTCAGTCTGCTTTTATCTTTTCTTTTACATTTCCTAGTGACACGTGCAGGAAAGGTTGGAGCTGAGCCTCAAGGCCACGCATTTGTGTTTGCTTCCTCATTAAACGACTTGCCATATTCTGATTATGTAATTCACTGTTTACTGTCGCTCGCCCTTGTAAATATGCAAGGATGTTTTCATTAACAAAATCTGTGACTGCTTCAAATTGTGGGTTGCACTTTTTAAGTTCGGGGAGTGAAATTCTATTAAAAAAAAACTTCAAATAAAATATATGCAATATAAATAATCCACATACATAGGGAAAACTGATTGAGATTTACGTTTGACTTTATGCTTTAATTTTATATGCATTGAGACTAATGGGTAGCACTTTAGTTTAAGTCATAATTCATGCTATTTACTGATTTATTAGCTAACTATTATTTAGATATTAACTATTTATTTTTGTATTAAGCATCCTTATTCCTACTGATAACCTAAACCCAACTTCTACCTCACTAAATATTAATAAACATGTAATTAGTAGTTTATTACGCTAGTAGTGTTAGTTAGTGGTTTGTTAATACCACAAATTGTGTTACCAAATAAGGTTACTCTTGGTATTTTAAGGTGATATTGGTATCACAAGCATGTCTGTAGCCAAATATTTTATTTTTTCAAGTTTACTGTGTTTTCTTGTTATATTTCCTATATAGTACAGTAGATTCATTATACAGTGGTAAAGTTTTTGGGGTTATTCATGGTCTGCTTAAAGTTTTCGATCATTTAAATAATGATCATGCAAATCATAAAGGAACGTTGGGGGGAAAGCTGAATAAAAAATAATAATGATGAAGATATTTTGTCAAAATCTGTGGTGTGAGGGTTTGCAGAAATATATGAACTTGGAGTTTTGACTCTCCTCTCTCAGTTGGTCAGATTATTCCCTTTCTGTCTTTCCAAAAAAGCGCATATTACAGAATGTCAAAGTGTCTCGACACAGATTTAAAAAGGCACATGCTGGTCCACTCTGGAAGCTTCACTCTTTGAATGAAGGTGGTCACTGTGTCACCTGAGAGGAGCCCTGATGTGCCATCTTTATCAAGCAAACAAAGGCATATGGTTATGTAACTGTACTTTTTTTTGTTCATTTTTCAGCCCAAATTGAAGTCATACCATGCAAAATCTGTGGAGATAAGTCATCAGGCATCCACTATGGAGTCATCACATGTGAAGGCTGTAAGGTTAGTGAAAAAGGAGCCTTTTTCTCTGTGCATCTGTTGGTTGATCATGTGTTCAAGCTAATCAAACCCTCATATACTGCGGGAATGAATGAATGAATGAATGAATGAATGAATGAATGAATAAATGAATGTTGTGCCACTTAGATCATGAAATGGCAACAGTTTAAAAAGGGGGTTTAACCTAACATAAGCTTCGTTTATGACGGTACCTTGGTTCTCTCTCTCTTTTTAAATTATTGGACAGATTATTGTGGAAAAAAATGTCAAGAAATACATATTTTCCAAAACATGTTTTAATCTAAAAGTATGAGAAAAATCTATCGAAGTAACTATCTATAAATAAATAAATAAATAAATCTAAACACCTTTTGGTTAAAAATTGTTGCTGAAATCTTTGCAAAAGAAAAAAAGATGGAGCTATTAGAATCATTAATTTCTCTTTCATTTTCAGTGCTATCAATTTTGACCAAATGTTTACATGTGACTATATGTTAATGATCATTTAACCCTTTCTAATCAAGCCCATCTTTTTTTGTGAACAAAAGCACCAAACATTAACAGAAATGTTAAAAGAAATTTGTTCTGATAATGTAATCATTTCATTGTCTACTATTTATTTCAGTCAGTACAGGTGTGATTTTTCCCACATGTAACTGATTTAAATATTTTTTTTTTTGGTTGTGTGGACTGTAGGGTTTCTTTCGGCGGAGTCAACAAAACAACGCCTCCTACTCCTGTCCCCGCCAGCGCAACTGCCTGATCGACCGAACGAACCGCAACCGCTGCCAGCACTGCCGCCTACAAAAGTGCCTGGCCCTGGGCATGTCCCGGGATGGTGAGACATATCATATTCTATATAACAAACAAACATTGCAATCAGCTATACTTGATCATATTCTAAATAACAAACAAACATACTGCAGCAATCAGCTACTTGACCATATTCTATATAGCAAACAAACAAATGCTGCAATTAGCTAATTGACCATTTTCTATATAACAAACAAACATACTTCAGCAATCAGCTGCTTGATCATATTGTTTATACCAAACAAACAAATGTAGCAATCTTGATCATATTCTATGGACCAAACAAACAAACATATCAATCAGTTACTTGATCATATTCTATACTACAACGAAAACACAGCAATCAGCTAATTGATCAGAATCTATATAACAAACAAACATAGCAATCAACTACTTGATCATATTTCATAAAACATGAAAACGTAGCAATTAGCAACTTGATCATATTCTATATAACAACCAAAGAGCTGATGATATTCTACATAACAAATAAAAAATAAATCAGCTACTTGATTCTGAACATATTCTAAATGATGTCTTTTGAATGATGACATAATTTTTGAATGTATGTCAAAATGATGATAATTGTTTTATGTTCAATTCACTTAAATTTGTAAAACTAAAAAGCTAATCTTATTTCTTCATGTTGTCTCAACACAAATTGATTGTGTGAAACCTAGCATTTTTTTTACAGTGTACAACCATAGCAATCAGCCAGTGATCATTTCTCTTGATTTAATATGTCTTCATCCGCCCTCTCCCTCATCAGCTGTGAAGTTTGGCCGTATGTCGAAGAAGCAGAGGGACTCTCTGTACGCAGAGGTCCAGAAGCACCAGCAGAGGCTACAGGAACAACGGCAGCAGCAGACGGGTGAAGCAGAAGCCCTCGCTCGGGTTTACTCCTCCAGCCTCACCAATGGCCTCAGCACCCTCAACCACGAGATTGGAGGAACGTACGCCAACGGTCACGTCATAGACATGCCCAAGGGCCAGGCGAACGGTGCTCCGGGAGGATACTACGGCATGGACTCCACACAGGCCAGCCCGGATCAGTCTGGACTTGACATAACTGGCATGAAACAGATCAAACAGGAACCCATATATGATCTCACCCCTGTTCCCAACCTTTTCACCTACGGCTCCTATCAAGACAGCCAGCTCGCACCTGGAGTGTCTATGGGGGAATTAGGTAAGAGTAGTAAAGCAATTAGGAAAGACTAGATCCGGTCCTCAAGTTGCAGAGTTCACATACGTATGCATTTACTTCTAGGACAACATGATAATAAGAAATAAAGCCAATATTGCGATATGTAATTGTGAAATTATTTTGATTATACGGATTATTTTCTTTAATTGTGAAACTTAATTTTTGAGTCCAAACTATAATTGGTTTGTTTACACAAAACCTTATTATACACGCCAGTGATGAGTGGTAACTGATTTAACTGGGTAAAGGGTATAATAATTCATTTCATCCGTAAAAAAAAATCTGCCCGTAGCTACATTTTACCACTAGAATGAGCGATTCACAGCTTGCCTCACAATATTAAAACCATGAGACAGTTTTTAAAAATTATAGTACAGTAAAAATTAAAAAAGTATAGTATAGTAAAAATTAAAATACACACACACACACACACACACACACACACATAATAATACTTGGCCAGACCACGTATACACACACCTCCTGATTGTAGTAAGAATTATGTAAGAATATTAATGCGGGTTAGAAACCATTTAAAAACCTTTGAAAACCAAAACAAAAGGATGATTTTTTAACTGATTTTAAACATTATAGTTGTCCCATCACACACACACAAGAATACTTGGCCAGACCACGTCAACAAACACCTGCTGATTGTGGTAAGCATTAGGTAAGAACATTAAAACGAGTTAGGAAAGGTAAGATCCAGTCCTCAAATTGCAGAGTAAAAAATAAAGCAAGTGTCACAATATGCAACTGTCAAATTATTAGGAGAAGACAGATGATGTCCTTTAATTATAAAACTTATTGTTAAGCTCAAAGTTCTTCGGAAACATATATTATGGGCTATAAGCACACAGATTTTAATTTTCAACCAGGCAGCTAAAGGGCTTCCTGTGAACTTTTTCCATTACAAAATTGTCAAATTTCAGATCTGATTTTTTTTTTTAATCAGTGATCTTCACTGCCTGTTAGATATTTATGATATAAAGTGGGTCTCAGATCGAACAAGAAGCACTGCATTAAATAACACTTCCCCCACCATTACTTAAAAATACGAGTTTATTTTACCCCAGTATTTTCAATAGAATTTTCTGTTGCTACTGAAGGCGCTAGTGGTTACACAGTCTTTCATCTTATTTTACACTTGACCAACTAAATGAATGCTTAAGTCTAATTAACTGAATGTATTGTAATTACATTACAACATTGATGTTGTAAAAAGTAACCTTGTGAAATTCAAAATAGTCACATTAAGCTTTCCCTGAAAGTTTATCGTATGCTTTAAAACTCTAGTTGTGCATATACCCCATTACCATGGTTGTAAAAGTCTTCTTTATCAATACTCCATTTTTGTGACTTTGTGTGGCTGGGAGGATTTGGCTCTAAAAGCATGCAATGTCCTATTGATAAAGCTTGATCAAGAGTCCTCGACCCATTCTACTAATTGTTAGCCACTCACACAGGTGATGATCAGCACAGGCTGTTTTTCCCATATTCAGTAGTTTGTTGTTGTCACCATTTCATCTCCCGCATTTCTTTACATTAGTGAACCAACTGACCGGGTCATTATTGACACCTAGTGGACAAACCGAGTGCATGTAATAAGCAGTTCAAAGGACATGTGTAAGCTGTGCGAAAGCTTTGGAAAAAAAAAATAAAAAACTGTAATACAATACATGAATATTGTACTGATGGCTAACCGATAAAATGTATACTTTGGGTTTCTCTGAAAAGGTTTAGTTTGCTCTTAGTTTTGCATTAGAGTAAACTTAAATGTGAACCTCAAATGTTCATCGTAAAAAGAATGGATTGCACTCACAACATTAATAAAAATAAGTAAAATATATTGTGAAATATATATTGTAAAAATAAATGTAAAAAAATCACTATCTAGTTTGCTTAAATTACTTTTATATAATTTTATTTGCACTCTTAATAGTCATAAAAGGCATTTTAAAAAAAAGTCCTAGATTTTTTTTTCTCTTTAAAATATTTCCCAAATGATGTTTAACAGAGCAAGGAAATTTTCACAGTATGTCTGATAATATTTTTTTCTTCTGGAGAAAGTCTTATTTGTTTTATTTCGGCTAGAGTAAAAGCAGTTTTTAATTTTTTAAATACCATTTTAACAGTCTAAATAATTAGCCCCTTTAAGCATTTTTTCGATAGTCTACAGAACAAACCATCATTATACAATAACTTGCATAATTACTCTAACCAGCCTAGTTAACCTAATTAACCTAGTTAAGCCTTTTAATGTCACTTTAAGCTGTATAGAAGTGTCTTGAAAAATACCTAGTCAAATATTATTTACTGTCAAAATGGCAAATGATAAAATTAATCAGTTATTAGAGATGAGTTATTAAAACTATTGTTTAGAAAATTGTTGAAAAAAAATCTTCTCTTTGTTAAACAGAAATTGAGGAAAAAAATAAACAAAGGGGGCTAATAATTCTGACTTCAAATGTACTTTTTAGGTTGGTTGCAATAAATAGCAAACACTGTAATGCATGTTAAACCTCTGCACAGACATTCCCTGCCTTCATGTCTCCTCCTTTTCTCTTTTCTAGACCGAATTGCACAGAACATCATAAAGTCCCACCTAGAGACGTGTCAGTACACAGCGGAGGAGCTTCAGCAGCTCGCCTGGCAGACGCACTCTTACGAGGAGGTCAAGATGTACCAAAGCAAGGTGCGCACTCGGTCACTCCCTCGATGGATTCATCTTACATGGCAAACACTTGCTCTGTCCCCACATGCTGTACATTCATTTACATGCATTTACACCTGATGCGACTCTTTAGCTCGTCTCAGCTCATACTTCGCCTGCTCTTCATAGTCAGATTGCATGCTTGAGATCAGAGTTCATTAGAGCATCTCAGCCCCCCGGAGCTGATCCTATCCAGCTTTCACACCGATACGGAGAAAAAGAGAAAGCGAGAGAGCGAACGGATTTAGCTAACGAACACTCAAAGCACAATAGGGGAGGGTGCCAGACGTACTACAAGCCCTCTTCATTTCCCTGTGTCAAATGGATTATGGGTAATTACCGAGAAGCCCTTTGAAATAGTGCCTATGAAGATTCGCTATACAGAGAGAGAATTGCAGAGCTCACAAAAGCAATTTGCTGATATCACATTTTCAGCATTCTGTGCTCCGTAAGGACGTCTCGCAAATGGGAAACTACACATTCTGCCCTTTTTTGTTGATTTTTTTTATGATGAGTACAAAAAATTTCAATTATTACTTTTTAAAATTAAATTAAAAGAGTCAAAGGGTGTTCTACTTCATTCATTTAGTCAAGTCGAGTCTGGATTTTTGTACAGAAGAGCGTAGGAAAGTCTGTGTTAATTTTGAGAAACTATATTCTTTATGAATCAGTGTTTTTTTGCGCATGTGCTTTTGGTATAATAAATACACACAAACATATAAATTCACAGAAAATTTATATAATAAATATTAATAAACTACTATTTCACAATATAAGATTGAACAATTAAGATTTAAACTAATTTATCAAAGTATATTGATCTAAAAAAATTAAATAAGTGTTGTTTGTTCAAGCTGTCTATGTAAAAACATCCCGAAAACATTCTCTTTTACAAAACATATTGAGCAGCACAGCTTAATATTATAAAAATACATGTTTCATAAGCAACAAACTAATATATTACATACATTTTTGTATGTGTTTTGTGGAATTGGAGAAGGCATTCGACCGTGTGCCTTGTGGCATTCTGTAGAGGGTGCTCTGGGAGTATTGGGTCTAAGGAGCTGTGTTAAGGGCTGTCTCATCACTGTATGAACAGAGTTGAAGTCTAGTTCGCATTGCCGGCAATAAGTTAGACTTTTTCCAGTGCATGTTGGGCTCCGGCAGGGCTGCCCTTCGTCACCACTTCTGTTTAGAATTTTTATGGACAGAATTTCAAAGCGCAGCCTTGGGCTGGAGAGGGTCTCTGTTAATCTCTGTTGAAGACAATGTTGTTCTGTTGGCTTCATCGATTATATACACCTTTAGCATGCACTGGGGTGGTTTGCTGCCGAGTGTGATGCCACTGGGAGGAGAATCAGCACCTCCAAGTCCTAGGCAATGGTGCTCCACCGAAAAAAGGTGGTTTGCCATTTCCAGGTTGGAAGAAAGTCCTTACCCTACAGGTGGAGGAGTTTAAGTGTCTTAGCGTTTTGTTCAGGATTGGTGCAGCTGCAGCAATAATGCGATTGATGTATTGGTCTGTTTTGGTAAAGGAGCTGAGCCGCAAGGCAAAGCTCTTGATTTACCGGTCAATCTACGTTCCTGCTCTCACCTATGGTCATGAGCTTTGAGTCATGACCCAAAGGTCAAGATCCCGGATACAAGTGGCTGAAATGATTTTCCTTTGTATGGTGGTAGGGCGCACCCTTATAGATAGGGTGAGGAGCTCTGTCACCTGGGATGCGCTTGGAGTAGAGGCGCTGCTCCTCCACGTCGAGAGAAGTCAGGTGGCTCGGGCATCTGTTATAGAGGCCTCCTGGACGCCTACCTATTGAGGTGTTCCAGGCATGTCCCACCGGGAGGAGGCCTTGGGGAAGACCCAGGACACGCTGGAGGGACTATGTCACTCGGCTGGCCTAGGAATGCCTCAGGGTTCCCCCGGAGGAGCTGGAGGAAGTGTTTGGGGAGAGGAAAGTCTTGGGTTCTCATCTAAGACTGCTGCCCCCACGACCCAGCCCCGGAAAAGCAGGCGAAACATTTTTAATGTCATCATCCTTCAGAAATTGTAATGTTGAAAATTCAGCTTTGCATATTAAAAATAAGTTAAATCCTAAAAAAACATTTATATTTAAGATATATTTTAGATTATAATAATTTTTACAGCAAGGAGGAGAGAATAACGTCAAATTTAGTCTCAGCTCATAGACACTGCATTAGAAACACCTCACATAAGCGGTAATTCATTTTTTGTAATTTGACAAAGATGATGTAATACATTCATGAATGCATATAAATGTTCATACAATTTATTAAAAATCAAAACATTAAAAACTTAAGGATTTAAGATTATGATGCCCTCTAAATGTGTCTTGTAAAAAGGGTCCATAAGTATTCGATATATTGTTGATATTGTACATAAACAAAATACAGTTTTACCCATAAGACTTGTGTGTATGTGTGCGTTTCAGACACGAGACGTGCTGTGGCAGCAGTGTGCTATACAGATCACTCATGCTATTCAGTATGTGGTAGAGTTTGCCAAGCGCATCACCGGCTTCATGGAGCTTTGCCAGAATGACCAGATATTGCTACTGAAATCAGGTAAACACCACACCATAATCTAAATAATCCATTTTACTTGAATAGAGTAAATACTAACCTGCTGCTCAATCTCAGGTTGTCTGGAGGTTGTGCTGGTCCGAATGTGTCGTGCATTCAATCCTCTCAACAACACAGTGCTGTTCGAAGGGAAATACGGAGGCATGCAGATATTTAAAACTCTAGGTACAAACACTACAAACTCCTTCAGTTATACAGCAATTTTCAAAAAACATGGTATTTTTAACAAATAAAAATGTATTGATTGTAGATTATTAGACATGATTTGAGCATGCGATATGACATATTTACCTCCTGCAGGCTGCGATGACCTGGTCAGTGCGGTGTTTGACTTTGCCAAGAGTCTGTGTTCACTGCAGTTAACAGAAGAGGAGATCGCCCTGTTTTCTGCTGCAGTTCTTATTTCTACAGGTCAGGACTCGCACTGTAAAAATGCAGGGTTCCACCCAATTCATTCACGTTGTCCCAACACAAATCTTTTAAGTCGTTTGGTTTTGACAAATTTGAGTGGATTGAACATAAACCAATTAAGTTGTCCCAAAAAATAAAGAATTGTGTTGTTTTAGCTCATTATAGGTGCGCAATTTGAACAAATTTTGAGAGCACTGATGTCAAGAGTCCTACTGTAGCCACAACACAAACAGGGTTTCTGCAAATCTCAGGTCTGCCTTTACTGATTAACCACATGCGCTTTACAAGTTAAAAATCACATGTAAAACATTGTGGAACACATGTGAAATGTTTGGTTTTGGAACATTTTCAAACATGGATGTGTGGAAACATGATCACATGGGTTTTAGTGCATCATAAATAACATTTATTTATGATGCACATTTAAAAACAACAGCTCTATCTGTGCCAATAGGAAGTTGTTTAGTCTTCTGACATATAGCGAAACAGAGCTTCAGGCTACCCAAATTCAAGTCCAAGCTCCTGGGCTTTTCTCGATCGCAACCTATATGGAGATTAAAATATGACAAAACAATCTGAAATAGAATTGCTAATTATTAACAGTGTAATTTAATAAAACTGAATATTATATGGCATTAAATTGTTTGAAATGTAAATTTATTAACTCTTTCTAAGAGGGGTTTTTGTCATTTGTCATTCTGTATTTCCCGTCACGAATAGAGAGGTCAACAAGACTAATGCAGGTATACACAGCTACAGACATCTGCAAGCTCTCTTTTACCGCTCCCAACTTAGACTCTGACTCAGAACTACGTATGTACATCCCGTGCATTTAATTTCTCTCCATCATTACGCTCTTGCATCAGTTAAAGCAACCATACCATAATATTTACATGAAATAATTGTACAGAAATACATCTCACATTCTGAATTCCTAGACTGCAGATATGCAGTTTGTTAAAATACAGTTTCAAGTTTTCGGATGAAGAAATTTGGAATGTTAAATTCAACACTGTGAAATTTAAAACACAGAAACTCAGATATAGGTCAGATGGGATAAATAACTCAGGGGTCATCATGAGGGGTGAACATGAGTCATTGTTTTGCTCAGTAAATATTTGTCCCACTACAAAAATCTTCACTGGACATTACATAACACACATTTGGTCAAACAATAAAAAGAAGCTTTGCGTTTTGTTGCATTTAATAAAACAACTAAATATAAAGTCTTTTAAAATACCTCATTGTTTTGCATTTAAAATATTTATTACATTTTCTTTACTTGGCTTTAAACTGACCTTCATAAAAACTGCAGGAACTAAAACTAAAGAGGTGCTCATTGTGTCCAAATCAAAACCTAGGATATTGCTGTTATTGCTACTGATCATATCTGAATTCTCAATGTTACTGTAATGTATCAGACCAGCAGATATTAATAGACAACTCTCTTGCGTTTCCAGACCGGCCGTGGTTAATGGAGCCTAGAAAAGTGCAGAAGCTACAAGAAAAAATCTACTTTGCCCTGCAGCACATCATGCAAAAGAACCATCTGGACGAGGATGCGCTGGCCAAGGTAGAGTGTCTCGAGTGACCATGACACAGTTCATAGAGGAACCGATCGCATGATGATATACAACTTAAATAGGCCATGTGCATACTGTACATTTAAGGAGTGACAACCATATTTAAATGCAATTTACATGTTAAATTGCTTGTGCATCTGATATCTTTACCAATTTAATGTTATAGAATTGGACCCTTTACATTCATACATTTCAACTAAACCATAGATGACAGATGCCTTGTGTGCTGTTTTTAGCTTGGAAGGGTGCTTTACAGAAGGCACTTTTGCGGTGTTGTCATGTCCACTTATTATAATCAGCTTTAGGTTTGTTGTGTAGGACTGACACATAGTTTAATCAAGTTTACAGTGCTATTAGTGTGGAAAGAAGTGAGTAATGATATTTCTATATACAGCTCTGGAAAATAGGAAGAAAATACACTTTATAAATTACCTAACTTACTTGTCCACAAAAACAATCAAGAAAGAAGAAGGTACAAACCAAAATGTCATCAAGCTCCCTACTTTCTATGTACAAATATTTAAATTCAGCGAACAAATCCAAAAAGGGGCAAGACAACATTGTCAGTTAACAACAGACAAAGATCAGATTTTTAATGTTAAAGAGCAAGAGCTAAAACACTAAATACTGTGACAGATTTTCCTTAGAAGAATACACAAACTCTAATTCAATAAGTCTCACTAACACACAATTTCTTTCTATGAAAGTTAACACATCACTACCAACCACAAGTGAGCTCAAAACAGCTAAACAAGAAGTGATGAAGAAAGAATTTATAGGCAGCCAGGACTCAGGGTGTAGCATCTATAGACTATTTTCACATTTGTAGGTGGCCATAGATTGGCATTTTATCATCTTCTTTCAAATCAACCTAATTCATTTGTCCCCGTTTTGTGCAGCTGATCAGCCGGATCCCGACCCTGTCTGCTCTCTGCACTCTGCACACGGAGGAGCTTCAGGCCTTCCAGCAGCTTCACCCAGAGACTGTCAACATGCTGTTTCCCCCCCTCTACAAAGAGCTCTTCAACCCAGACGCTGCCGCCGTCATGCCCAAATGACCACGCACGCACACTTCGCAACAGTCTTTCATTCAACAGAGGAGGAACACTGTGTCGCAGCAGCAGCATCAACTACACTAATTCTAGGAATGTCCTGCACTTCAGAAACACAACTCATTTTCACCGGTACAGTCATAAGAATGTATATACGCGCCAGCAGGCGTCTTCAGTTTGACCAGAAATGTACAGACTTTAGGACAATTTAAGCTGTCTTTAAATTGGGTAAGTTAATTCTCTCTTTTTTTCGTTTGTTTGTTTTGTTTTTATAAAATATTGTTATATTGAAGTGAGAGGACAGGGAGTGCATTCAAAAATGATAATGTAGTCATTTCTCTAGAACAAAAGCGGTATTCCAGTATTAATTTGTTTTTTTCTGGTAATATTTTAGTCATAATTTAAAAACAACGGTGGCCTCAAAGGCCCGTATCTTGTCTATGTCATTTTTGGTATTTGTTTTTTGTAGTTTTACCTGTACAGAATATGTGAAGTTGAAAGTGGTACAAGGTTAATGGGGACTAACTAACTGTTTGGCCACGTATAAAAAAAGAAAAAAGAAAAAAAAAGCCTTGTCTGGGCTATGTAGATATGTATAAACAGCACCACAACATCAATCCTACACTTTAGGATTTTTGGATGTGGATGAATAATTGATAAAGGATACTTTTCCGTATGAAAGTATAGAGATTTATATTTTACAATAATATGGTATGGCCGATTACCATCTTGTCAGTCATTGCTGCAATAACGGTTTCTGTAATAACTGCTGAAAAACAATCCAGTCAAATGTGACTTTTTTTGTGGAAAGCCCTCAGAACTGCTTTGAATCAATTTTTTAAAAAAAATCTATGAAATGCTGTTCACACTGCCAAAACTATTATAATACAGCACTAATGTAGTAGAGCTGAAGCTCTATTTCCAAATAGTAGTTCAATCATATTTCTGCTGCCTTTATAATAGATTCTCTGACTTGAGCAATAATGTATACTTTTTAATTACATTCCCAGATCAGACTAGTGAATTCTGAATTTATTCTGTATTTTAAACATCGATTTATATATTAGATCTAATGTTTTCAGTGCTCAAAATCAAATTACAGTTTTCGAAAGATAGCACTCTTGCAATTTAAGCTATTAATTGGAACACTGGGCCTCATTCACTAACAATTGTTCACATTTATAAGCACATTCCTCTCCATAATTAAATATTTTGGCTAAAACACAACACATTTCTTTTTCTAAATTTAGTCAATTTTGGCTAAATGAGTGTCTTTGCGTTTACATATATAAATGTCAAATGTAATTGTTGTTATGACAAGTTACCACCAGTTAATAATACCACGTGATTTGTTCATGAAAACATTTGTATTTGGATTTCATGCACACATTTGAACATATTGATGTGCAGTCGAGGTCAGAATTATTAGTTCCCCTTTGAAAAGTTATTTTTATTATATTTATTTATTATTACATATTTCCCAAAGGATTTTTAACAGAGCAAGGACATTTTCACAGTATGTCTGATAATATTTTTTCTTCTGAAGAAAGTCTTATTTGTTTTATTTTGGCTAGAATAAAAGCAGTTTTAATTTATTAAAAAAATCATTTTAAGGTAAAAATTATTAGCCCTTTTAAGCTATATTGTTTTTTCAAAAATCTACAGAACAAACCATCGTTATACAATAACTTGCCTAATTACCCTAACCTGCCTAGTTAACCTAATTAACCTAGTTAAGCCTTTGAATGTCACTTTAAGCTGTATACTAGTGTCTTTAAAAATATGAAGTAAAATATTATTTACTGTCATCATGATAAAATTAAATAAATCAGTTATTAGAAATGAGTTATTAAAACTATTATGTTTAGAAATGTGTTGAAACAATCTTCCCTCCATTAAACAGAAATTGGGGGGAACATTAACAGGGGGGATAATAATTCTGACCTCAACCTCATTGTGGATAGCAAAGTATTTCATTATTTTATACATACACTGATGTAACGCATCATTAATGAATGAGACCCAATGTTCAGTTAAAAAAAAATATTTAAAAAAAAATTAATTATATTGGCTTATGATTAATAATTTTGGGACTAATCCTAAATGTTCTTAATCAAATAGGAGCTACATACAAACAAAAAAAGAGAAATATTTACAGTATCTTTTTCAGTTTTACTTTTTAATTGATTCGTTTTTAAATTCATGTTTACTTTTATAGAGAGGGTTTGGAATAAAATTCAGATTTGGCCAGGACTGTCTTGAATTTAGCTGGCTATTTATTTATTCACTCCTTATTCTAAGCATCCTTCAATTTAAATTTAAGTTTCCACTGTTTTAATTCTCTGCAAAAGCTTAATGCATGTGGTAAATGACAATCATTTTAGAGTATTCACACTGCAGTGTAAATCCACATATGCAGCTACTACACGATTCATTCTAAAAGAGCAGTTTTGAGTAGATTTGAACCCTTTCGGTCAAATAAATAGCAAAAATCTCCCCAATTACCAGCTCGAACCACCAGGTGGAGATACTGAGAGCGCTTTCCCCCTTTTCTTGACCTGTACTCGCAGGATGTAAAGCCATATGTCAGTTTCTTATGAAGAAAACAAACAAACAAACTCGACATACCGAACAGTGAATTTTTAGTACATCATGATGCATTTATATTGTGAAATGCACTCGAAAGCACTTAACTATGAAGGATTATTAACCACAGACACATGGTGTTAATGAATGCACAATTGTAGTCCGCTGAGAAGCTGTTCAACTGAACTAAAAGCTCTCAGCCCAACTTTAGGGAATGTTTCCAATTCTTACAAGGCTAGTTTCTTGTTCAAGACAATCATTTCTGGGTGCGATTCCTCGTGGCACCCATCTCAGGGACTTCTCTTAATGTTTTCAATAGAAAGAGAGTACTATTTAAAAAGAAGAAGAAGAAAAACATGGACATTTTTAGGGAATAAAAATACAATCACAGCGATTTCTTCACATACAAAACCTACCCAGACAAGGCTTTGGTGTGTATGTATGTGTGTGTAAAGCGTGTAACTCATGGTTGAGAGGTGAAACGGGCTTTCTCGTTTCACGTCCCAGCATTCATCTCTCTGTGTGTGTAAATATCAGCGCGCAACACTGCGCTCCAAATTAAAACATTGTAATTATTAAGCATCTCCTGAAATGAAATGGATTTTATGTAAGTTAGATTATTTATACAGAGCACGAATAAGCTGCTCTTTATCTATTTCTATGCTCGTTACAGAAAAACGGATTCAGTCAAAAAATCATTTTAAACTTATGATGAATGCTTTTTTTTCTGTATTAGACTGTGAATTTTGAGGACGAGAGGGATTTGTATCTATAATATGAGGTTCAACACTGTTAGGTACTGTAGCAATAACTGGAAGCATTTACTACAGTCATCTTTGCATTCTAAGATTATTTTTTATTTGATAATTATAATTATATTATTATTCTTAGCCTATTGTTGTTCAGTTATTCTTGCATGCTGGTTCATAATAATGAAACCTTCGGGCTTTTGTGTTTCCTTAACGTGTTGCTGAGGGGAGGGTGGGTTTGGGTTTCGGATTTTTTTTTTTTATTCTGAATGTTTCTGGGTTGCTGTTGTTGGAAACGCAACACGCCCTGTTCATTCTGTTCGCACACAGACACAAGCACAAAGTATTTCTTACTGTGTAGGACTAAGGTAATATAAGGGCGCTGATGGTCAAAACATACATGAACGCAGATGCAAGCTCAACTTCTTACTGTTTGGTGTGTGTCAGAGTATGGAGGGTGATCGGGGCCAAAAGTCTTTAAAAGAAACACGCTAAGTTTGATTGTGTCAACATGCACTTGTATACAGCAAGCACAAAAGACAACCAAATTGATAATATTTTGGTCACACATATTCAGAATACAGATGTCACAATTATCTATGAAAGACTTCGCTATACAGTGGTCCCTCGCTGTAACGCGGCCGAAAAAAGTGTCGTGGATTTTTTTCATGTAACTTTACATGCTTTTTTCATGCGTTCAGCTCGCCAAATGTACATAAATCTTCGATTAGGAAGGTAGAAGTTACGTGACTGTAGGGCACAGAATAAATAAATGAATACTTATTTATATATATACTTATGAATACTTTTTCATTAATACTGGACTTAGTTTTCTACAAATGTTTGAACTTTGAGAATGTTATAACTAGAGAGAAAAGTGTAAAAATGTTAATGCCCATCTGAGAAAAGTGTATGAAGTCTGTAAAGAGGGGTTTTACAGTGTTAGAAAATCTATAATAATTTGTACAAAAATAAAGCTGACTACTTCACGGATTTCACCTATTGCAGGTTATTTTTAGAACGTATCTCCTGCGAATAACGAGGGACCACTGTATTGCTATATACACAGGCAAACAGACATCATACTGCCTTTTTAAATTTTTGACCTCAACCTGGACAAACGAAGTTTGTCTACTCTAAACATACTAAAAACTGTCAAACTGTTCATGACAACATACAATTGTGTGGGTTTTGTTCAAAGCATTTTGGCACTTTTCACCTTCCATATTAAAGCAAACAGATGTGTTTTGCATTATTGCTTTAAAGACCTTAGCAACGGCAACAGCCTACAGTATTTATTTTTGACAGGCATAAAAAAACGTTCACACATCAAATGTTTTCAACCCAAAAAGGAATTTTTTAATGCGTTTGCCTGTTTATAGACAACATAGGCCTGAAAACGAGTTACAAAAAGGAAGTTTTTAAAAATTCTGCATCAAAATGAGAGTCTTTGAAAATGATTATTAGGGATTTAACAAAAATATGTTCCTTTATAGTTTCTTTTAATACTGTCATTGCCAGAATAAGAGCAAATTAAAATCAGTTTACTTTTAATGACTTACCTTAGCATTTGGGTTAATGTCAGAGACATCAGAATGTAACTCTGAATTTAAGTTTAGCTACATTTATGCCATGTCACATTTCAAAACGACAACAAGCTCTACTCTATGCTTTTTTATGGCAGCACTTTTGCTGTACTGTCAGGTGGTACAAATTGTAAATTTTAAGTTTATTTACAAGTTCTATTAAAATATGAATATTTTTTTATTCTCAAGCTATGATTTTGTAATTATGGTAATTACCACATGGAAGAAACACACTTTTTGTCATCACTTCGAGACTGCGCAAGTGCTGACACTGCCAAGTGGGTTGACTTTGCATCTGCGCGTGTGTACATTAGGTGCAGTATGTTTAGACCCTAACAATCGAAGACTATATAGTGCATACTATATAATCAGTATGTTCTGCATAGTATGAATGAAACGCAGCATGCAGAGCGATCCTATACTGTATTCTGCTCATCCAGTATGAAAATATCATACACTAATCCAACACTTGACATGTGTTTGTGTGTATGTGAGGTTTTGAGTGCTGTACTTCTAATGAAGTTCCTCCAACACTACTGATGCATTCTACACATTTCGATATTTTTGTTCTTTTTCTACATTCTTTATTATTATTTTTTTGTTAATTTATGAATCAGAATGTGTCTATCTCCCTGGATGAAAAACATCAACTACAGCAGCAGCAAAACAAACAAAGGTAGCATCTGTTACCAAAACCCTTAAGACTGTACTTGGCGTGCAGAAGTCTTTTTATGTACTAAATATGTACAGGAATCATTTTTTTGTTTTGTTTTCAAGTGCCATAGCTAGTGTGAAGTGAAGCTGAATGGCATACAGGGTAGATGCTTTACTGTATATGTTGTTTACTTGAGAAGCAATCAAAAAGTGGAATTCAGATGCAAGTGTGAATATTCAGACGACACAGGCTCTGACTGACAGGACTTTAGCACATGTCCACAAAATAAACATGTAGCAATTGGGGAGGGAAGGTTTCTGTTCACTTGCCAACAATGTGAGTGTGTGTGTGTGCGTATGCGAGTTTGAATTGAGAAAAAACAACAACAGTATAGAAGTGAAGGTCGAATAGCACTTTGCATGATGGAGCGAATATGTGTGCTGGTTGTTTGAAGGGGTGGTTGGGAGGGGGGGTTTAGGGTGAGCTTGAAGTGCGAACATTGTGGAAATGGACATGTAAAAGTTCTGATTCATCTGAGACCTTAAAGTGTCTCCTCCATGTTGTATATATACCAAGCGAAGGACTTAAGTGATTTTTTGTTAAATTCTATATTTTATGGCTTTTGTAGACATTTCTTTGTGGGATAAAAAAAATAAAGAAACTTTTATGGATGCAAACTTGCGTTTGTCGTAATTTCATTTCATTCTCAGTGTCATGTGTGGAAACAAATGCATACATTAAAGTGTTTCTGATAAGTTATTATAATACAATAAAATACAAAAGGCGTTCTCTCTAAGTTTGAAGGTCAAAACTCTAAAACGGCACTGAGCATGGCAGAGATTAACAGTGTTTGTGTTTTGTTTATATACATGCATTCGGTTTATTTAATCAATCAATCAGAACAAATATGTGCATATATACAGACAGTCAAGCCTGAAATTATCTATACACCTGATTTTTTTGGTTTAAATGTAAATAAAACCTGAGAAATATTTTTTCCACAACGATGCTACCGATGCCCGGTGGGTGGTTAATACTGTTGCCTCACAGCAAGAAGGTAGCTTGTTCAAGTCAAGGCTGGGCCAGTTGGCATTTCTGTGTGGAGTTTGCATGTTCTCCCCGTGCTGATGTTGGTTTTCACCGGGTGCTCCGGTTTCCCCCACAGTCCAAAGACATGCGCTATAGGTGAATTTAATAAACTAAATTGGTCTTGGTGTATTGGTACTTCCCAGCTGGAAGGGCAACCGCTGCGTAAAACATATGCCGGAATAGCTGGCGGTTCATTCCACATTGGCGACCTCTGATAATCAGGGCCAAATGAAAATAAATGAATGAATGAATGAATAAATGATGCATCTTGTATATTGTCTTATTACCTTTTGGGAGAAGTGTGTCATTTTCGGTCAAAAAAAAAAAAAAAAAAACTTGCTGGTTAAGTAAAAGTTACTCTAGGTCAGAATATGCCAGGTGTATGAATATCTTTGAGCTTGTCTGTATACACAAACACACACACAGTTTTTACAAAATTATTAGCCCTCCTCCGAAATTGTATTACTTTTTCAAATATTTCCTAAGTGATGTTTAACAGATTTTTTTTTACCATATTTAAATATTTTCTTCTGGAAAAAGTTTTTTTATTCTTTAAGTTTGGTCAGGGGGAAAGTACTTTAAAAATGTATCTAATAAATTTTCTTGGGTCAATATTATTAGGTCCCTTCAGATTTTTATTTATTTATTGTTGTTTTTAAACAATTGGCTTTAGAACAAACCACTGTTTTCTGCTGTTGCCTAATTAATGTAATTTAACCAAATACATTTTAAATACATAATTAGTTATGTATTTATGTAGTTATTAGAAATTAGTTATTAAAACAATTATGCTTCGAATGTATTGTAAAAAATATTCCCATAATTAAACCGTACTTGGGAAATATTTGAAAATAATTAATTTCACAGGAGGGCTAATAATCTTGCCTTCAACTGAATATATTAAAATAAAGTCTAGTCCTTTGTAAAAAAATAAATAAATAAAAATAAAAAAATAAAAAAAATAAAAAAAAAAAATATATATATATATATATATATATATATATATATATATATATATATATATATATATATAAATAATGAGAATAAATGAAATGTACTACTATTTTTCTGAACGAGTACTCTTTTGAGCTAAAAGAGCTGTTTAATTAGAGAATGTGGTCAGAAATATCTAGAAGAAACCCTGTCATGTATCATTCAATGTGAAATGATGTGAAATACCAGATTATGCTGGTTAATTACATCCTCAAATCTCACACTTACTTATGTGGCTATAATAATTTTTTATAATAATCTGGCTATAATAATTTTGCCTGTAAAGAAGGATAAAAAATAAAATAAAATATGAAAATAAATATATATATATTCAAAAATAGGATGTTTAATTTTTTATTCCCTGGAAAACAAAACAAGGTTTATATCAAGCCTTGCATATTATCTTTGAATGTAAAAATATAGATATTTTATGCATTGTCTTAACCAGCTTTTAAGCATGCACTTATAAATGAGGAAACCCAGCCAGCAATTTCTGATTTTAAAAGATGTCTAATAGACATTTAAACACAGTCATCTTAGCTAAAGCAAGGTTAATTTGGGCTGTCATTTAAAATCAAATAGGCCAAAACTAGACTAGTCATGAAATAAACAGAAATGAATGACTACACATATCAAGTCTGTCTAATCTGTCTATTTGACGACTGTTTTGGGCTATTCTTAGATGTCTATTAGATTTTCACTGACAGCCCAAGGTAAGCCTTGTTTTAGCCAAGCGGTCTACGTTTAGATGTTATTAGACGTCTATTAAACACAACATTGTTTGCTGGGAAAAGTCTGATCTTTAAAAAAATGATGCCCACTTTCAAACATTGTGCACATTGCTTTTACCCCATAGACAGCAGTTCTTTACATACAGTATATTCAGCCTGTAAAAAAGTATATAGTGTATGAACAGGAGTCCCCCCATGAACCTGAGCCGTGCCTCTGCGTGCTCTCTGTGGATCTGCTAAAAGTTTCCTTGAAGGTCAAAGGTTAAGCTGTGCAGCTGGTCTCATCAAAGGCAGGAACAGACTTCTTCAGGCTCCCGCAACTCCTCAAATCTGAAAAGCCACAATACACACACGACTGTGATGCATATTCATAATTTATCACAAAGAGAAGCTTTTTCTTAAGATCCAAAATGAAATTTAGTGGATTGCACATTAATAATTTGTTTTGATTTGATGCGGTTCTTGGAGAGGATTACAAAAAAAAAAACACAAAGCACCTTTGAAATATCAAACAAATGTGGCGAAGTGGTTTTCGTTTGTTTGTTTATTTTTTATCCCTGTACTTCTGAAGCGAAGCCTCCCTCTTGATACAAACAACAGGCATCTCATATGTCTTCCATGAGACAGTAATTAATATCTAATCAAAGTCAACGCTCTCTAACGCACAAAGAACTATTAAATATGTAATCAAAGAGAACACTCCACATGCCACAAAGGAAACCACGCCCCTCTTCTTCAAGCCTCTGCTGTCATGGAAATGAAATAATTTCTCCCCTCATTAGAGTTTTTTTCCTCCAAACCTTCAGGCTTAATTAGACAGCTTTTCCTGTTCGTTCTGAAGTTTGCGCCTTTCAAACGAACTATCAAATCACTTGCAAAGTTGGAAAACATGGAGGTGTGCCATGTGGACATGTTTGCGAGATCCACCGCTGCCGGAAATAAAAATGCAAACGAGTGTGGAAGCTCAGCCCTCAGCCCTGTGACACGCGGGGTTCTCCTCACCTGAGAGACCCAGCTTCTTGCAGCAGGAGTTGCAGGTGTGCTTGAGAACAAAGCTCTGGATTGCATCATCGCCCAAATTGGCAGGTCCAAACGCCATCTCTCCAGGGGAGCTGCAACAGGAGCAAAGTTTACTTAACCGAGTAAACAAATGCATGAAGAAGGAAACATTTGCACGTTTACTAAAACAAACATGTTTAAACATTGATACTTGTTTGGTGTGTTTATTCACCTTTTATCATCGACTCTGATCAGCGAGGGGTCTGTTAGGTCTGCTCCCACACCTTCAGACACAAATAAAGATTCAATGCATCATGTTTACAATAATATTAATCATCATCATCATTAACTCTTGTGCACTGTTCAAATTTGCTACCCTTTTGTTACACGTTGGGCGCTTCTGTTACCTTTCTTACAAAAACCAGCAGACTGAGGAACAGCTTTTTTTTTTACCCAGAGCTGTCTCCCTTTTCAACTCTGCCCCTCATTGACTATTTTGCCCCCTAATACACCCCCCACTCTCCTCTAACTTAAACTCCTCACAATCATTGCACTGTTTAACATTTGCACACTTAAAATTTGCACATATCCATTGCACTGATTTACTTATTTGAACTCTACATACCCACTGCACATGGACATCTGTAATTATGTACACACCCGCTGCATATATACATTTGTAATCATGTTTATTTATCTGCACACTACTGATTATTAATAGCATCCTGTACATATATTCATTTATTGTAAATCTCTGTTCATAGCTAATACAACCTGTATGTAATGTTCATAGTACATCCATCTGTAAATATCACCATAGTTTTTCTATAAATGCACTTTATAACTTATCCCTGTATCCTGCACTTGCTGCTATTGCACTGCTGGTTAGACCTAAACTGCATTCCGTTGCCTTGTACTTGTGTAATGACAATAAAGTTAAATCTAATCTAATCTAAACTTTAGGCATGTTAAGTATGAACCTGTTAAGTATGAACACACGTTTATAACAACCAATTTATACCTTGTAGATCCAGCACTAGCAGTTCCTTGTTGGTGTACTCGTATGTCCAGTGAGAGAAAGCTAGTATTGTTTCCTCCAGGCCAGAAGAGGGCAAGATTTCCTCACCCGTGTTATTGTTGTATTTTCTGAAATGACCACTCATGTTATTCTCTACAGTCAACCACTGGCCATCAGAGCGCCAGTGCAGCAAGGACACATCCAGAAACCTGCATACATAAACATGATTAGAGTTATGTGTTCATAGTCCTGATAAAATCAACTTCTAATCATCATAACATAAAAAGTTAATGATGCTGACTGACCTAGGACTGTGGGGCACACTGCTGGGTTTAACTTGGTTGAATCGCTGCATGAGCTTCTGTGCCGCTCTCTGTTGTTGAATTTCCTACATGTTGAAAATAATTTTTTTTTAATAGAGAGGCAGAGAGAAGTATTATTAAAGTGGTATCAAATAATACATTAACAAAAACCTAATACATCATAATAACTGTTATAATTAAAAATAATATATCATTTTATCACAGTGTTTAAATTGATCTTAAATCATAAAATAATAATAAAAAATGTCATTTAAAAGAAAAAAAAAAGAGAGAAATAATATATGTTTTTTTTCTTCCAGTGTTTTAATTCATAATGTGCATAAATGAACTTCCAGACTGTTGCCCAAAGTTTAACTGCCAGTTATATACAAATGATACATCTACAGTATGTGTCTGCTAAAACACCTTGGGCTCTATTTTGACGCTCCATGCGCAAAACGAAAAGCGCAGGACGCAAACGCTTTTAGGGCATGTCAGAATCCATATTTGCTAATTTAAGGACGGGGAAATCCGCTTTGTGCCGTGACGCATGGTCTTAAAGGGTTGAGTTTATTTTCATAATGAGTTATAGGTGTGTTTTGAGAATAAACCAATCAGAGTCTCATCTCTCATTCCCTTTAAGAGCCAGCTGCGTCGCGCCATAAACGCATTTGCTATTTACAGGACGTAAAGTAAGTGGAAAAACTGAGCATTTCACAAGCAAACAGTTAACAGTTTTTTTGACAGTTAAACAGTTAAACAGAGTGAGAGATAAATGATCTACTTTCACTTTCGCTCTCGTGGATAGGGAAACCTTTACGCACAGACATCAATTAGCCTATAAATAATTAATTTTCTTTGTAGCGCAAATATGTTTCAAAACTATTTTGTTTTAATTTCCAGCAAACGAATAAATGAACAATAACAACGAAGTGTGTTCAAAAACCTGAGTTATATCCTAAAACACATGCTGTGCCCCATATGGTCTAAAACCTGCAGGTGGGCAAATCTAAGCTTATTTTTAATAAAACAAATAGAAATATGGATATAATGAATAATACTGCTAATAATAATAACATTATACAAAATTGTTATGAATGAACTGAAAAAGCCTCCCGAGATGAAGAACGCATAAAAGCAGTGATTTTTCATATTTATGTAGGCTAGAAAATAATGTTTTGTAATATTTTAATCCTTTATATTTATATCCTATATCTATTCTTATTATATCCTATATATAGGCCTATCCTTAATATTTTAATTTTTTCATATGTAAAGATATTTGCGTATTGCTCTACATCTTGTGTGTAGGTTATTAAACAGTGTGTAAGCGAGGCACAACTCTGCGCTGGAGTTTAAACCGGGTTTGTTTTGGTCTAATGAAAAATCTATTATAGTTTCTCAAAATAGCAACGTGCCAGCTGTCCGCCTCAGAACACCTTCCTTTTTAGACCAGAACGCCTATGGGCGCACATATGAGCGCAAATGCATTTGCTATCTAAAGAGCGTGGCGCAACGCCTCAAAACGACTCATGCACCAAGTTGAACCTAGCAAACAAGTATTGCGCCGCGCCTTGTGCCACATTTCGCCGGGTGTATGATAGGGCTTGTCGGTCGGGTGAGCAACTGACTCAGGCTTTACAACATATTTCAAGATGGCTTAAGCCGTCTCATTTAACATTAAATGTCAATAAAACTATTTTTGTTTCTATGTGCTTCTCCATAAGAAATAGGCCTGCAAGGCATACATTTGAGGTGCTGATTAAAAATAAAGTTATTGAAGAAGCGAACAAATTTAAGTATATTGGCATAACTCTAGGCATGAATTAAAAATTTTGTAGTCATGTTAAAAATATTCATAAGAAGGCCGAGCCAAGTCTAAACTGTTTTTGTCTTATTAGAAAAATTTTAATGTATCAAACTGCAAAATGATACATGCATTCAATGATATACTTCTATATTATATATTAATATATCTATATTATATATTATTATATCTATAACACTTCTATTGCATTATATCATGGTCACAAGCCTCTTTAACCACATTAAAGCCTATTGATTTGATATATAAATGAGCAACCAAAATTATGGAATTAAAGCCTACCCGATGGCATCATTGTGAGGTTTTATATAAACATAACCTTTTTAATTTTGATGGTTTTATAAAATTGAGTTATCTTAAATTGTTTTTAAATGTTTAAATATTTGTTTATTTAATAATTGTTTAAATGTTCCAATGCTGTTTTCTAATCAGTTGGCATAAAACCTGCTAATGGTGACTGTCTTGTCCCAATATGTAAGACCTCTTTTGGCCAATCTGTTTTCTCTGTTAAGGGAAACCAAATTGTGGAATGATTTACCTGTTATCCTACAATTAGAAATGAATACAAAAATTTTAATAGTGTACTTAAAAAAGGTTAAAAACAGAACAGCAGTGTTTGCACAAATTCTCTAGTATTGGTTTGTTTGATCATGCCACATTTGTTTTTGCCTTACAGCAATTTTATTTAAAGGATTATAATGTTGTGTATATGTATCTGTTTTATTTTCATTTTATGTCAAGTCTCCCGTAGACAGGTGTTGAGAATTAGCAAGTCTTCTAAAAACTTAATTTGGTTGTCCAGTGTAATTGTGGTGTTCATGTCAGTCAAACAAACAAACAAACAAACAAATAGATCTTAAATCCTATAATAATAAAATTAAGAAGTAAAAAAGTAAATAAATAAATTAACTTTAAATAAAAATATATAAAACTAAACTAAACAAAACAAAATGTATTGATCACCAAATCTACATATAAGACTAATTTAGAATAAAGAATCGTGTGACACTAAATGTTGGAATAATGATGATATTATCATATACAGACTTTTAATATCACACAGTTCTAAAATATTGTCTGTAATTATAAGGTTTTAAATAATCAAACAACTGAATCAGTGGCAGAACTTTTATCATAAATAAAAACAATGTCAAAAACGCACCCGCAGACAGAGGTGAAGTGACGTGCTAATCGGGAACACTTTCTGCCAGATGCGTACCACTTCTGGCCTGAAGGCTTTCACCACATACACTGAGCCCAGCTTCAACACATCACCCTCGGCCCAGGTGCACACCACCTTTGTGGCCCTGCGCAGTCCCCCATCCAGCACCTCCTGATGGGCTAAAGGCTGAAGAACAGCTGTACGTCCATTCTGAAGCCACGTGGAGATACTGGAGGACGGATCACCAACTGACTCCTCCAGTGTGTAAATGCAGACCTCAACGCCGCCTAAACAGAGCAGAGAATAAATAAATAAATACATACATACATAAATAAATAAAAATAATAAATAAAAAAATAAGCAAATAACACCCATTGTTTGGTTATTTACCCAATAATGACACAGGTGTGAAGGGTATAGTGTGAGCCAATCTCATTAGGTTGTTTCTCTCCATTGCTGGAAGAAAAAGCACCAGTAAAGATCAAAAGAATAGCTAAATATACTTGAGGTGATAAAAGTCTAGCTATTCTTACTCACCTGAGTAATGCTGGCCTAAATCTTCAGTCAACTTAAATGTAGAGCTCCTTACTAACAGCAGAGATATAGAGAGAGAGAGCACAAAGCATCTTTTAACAAAATCAAACCCATGCAATTTATTCATCACATTCACAATAAAGGAAAAAAAAAAACTTACCGTCTGTCATACTGCTTACCCTATGAGCAGTGAAAAAATTTAGGTGAATGTTAGAAATGTTTCATGTGCTTAATTGAGAAGTCACATTGAATCAGAAACTGAACTTACGAGGGTCTTTGACTAATGGGTCTGGTCCAGCTACTGAGCAGGGGCTGCCCGGAACTCTTCATAAAGATCAACACATTCAGCCAATCAAATCTCTCAAAACCAGCAAAGAGATCATGATTTATGGAATGCAGGCCAACTTACCAGCCACGATGGGGCCAATTTTGTGATGTCCACTTGGTCAACATCTAATTAATAAAATAAAATGTGTCAGCAACTCCAAAAGTAAGCTGAAAGTTAGCATTTGAATTCATACAAGAAAATACTAATAAGTATTACACAACTTTGGTTGGTTTATCAAAGCTAAAAAATCTTATTTATTTTCTCCACAAGGAAACTGATCTTAAAATGGTTAGTTCACACAAAATTTATCCCCTAAGACCTTCATTCATCTTCAGAACACAAACTAATTTTATTATTGTTATTTATTAGAAGAAATGTGAGAGCTAAATCATGCTCCATAGACGCCAATGGTCCTGAGATGTATAAAAAGCAGGAAAGCAACTAAAAATGGAACATTGTCAAAACATTCAGTTTGATTTCAGTGGTTCAACAGTACTCTTGCAAAGCTCTGAAAACACTTTTGTGTGCCAAAAAATCTGTAAAAAACTCTGTTGGCCTGTCTTCTGCATTAGATTGGGGTGCGATTTACTCCTTGCATGTTGTGCTGCTGATTCTTATGGTAATATGTCATACTGGCTGTAGAAAAAACACACGCCTTGACCTGACATGGAAGAAAAGACAAAGGCAAACAAAGTTTTTTCTCCAAGTGTTGTTGGAGCTTCATATGATTACAGTTAAACCTCTGAAATCACATGGAATGTTTTTACAATGTTTTTGCTTCCTTTTCTGTACTTTAAACATCTTAGGACCATTGCTCTTTTGTGTTCTGAAGATGAATAAAGGTCAAAGAGGATTGGAACGTCATAAGGCTGAGCAATCAATAACAATTTTAATTTTGGGGAGAAATAACCCTTTAACAATAACTAGTAAACCTTTAAAGACAGACCTGTTTTGAGCTCTGAGGTTGTTAAAATGTTTTTGTTGCATGTGTTTTTGCTGAACCCCTTCACATTAAGTGAACTTGTTTATAAAACACTCATGTTTAATCACAGAAAAATAATCACAGGATTTTAGTGTTTCCCTGATTAAAGTACAAGTCTTTTTCTTTATATTTTTGTCTGCTTCTAATTTACTTCTTTAAAATCAGATTTATACTGTTTGATGGCCTATAACACTGTAGTGAAGTTTTTTAAATCAATGTGGGGAAAAAGAATGGGAAAATACTTCCAGAACAAATGCACTCTTTTGCTTAATATTAACAACTAAATGACTTTTAATGCTTTTATTCTTTTATTTATTTAAATTAACTGACCTATGACAATAACAACTTATAAGTTCATAAATTTTTTCTTTATTGTCCTTCTGTGACAGACTACAATGTATATACCAGGAACATTTTCAGTTCAAAAAGCAAATGTTAAGAGAACAGTAGATAAATGAAATAGTTAAATTAAATCAAACAAGCTTATATACAGTACCATACTGTTAAACATATAGTACATCAGTAGAGTCAATTTTATTTCTGGAGATCTACCTTCCTACAGAGTTCAGTTGCAACATTAATCAAATGGACCTGTAATTACCAAGTGCTCCTTCTGATCCCACTTCATTGGTTTAGCTGTTATATATATATATATATATATATATATATATATACAGTACCTGTCTTTATATTTTAGAAGGAGTTCCCACATACAGGTATTACTACGGGATAGGGCTGCATGATTCTGGTTAAAATGGGAATCACAGTTGTTTGTTTTTTTTTTTTTTTCCTTAAAATCAAGATCTCGATTTTCTCACAATTTTCTAGATGTGAAATAAAGGTTAATATAAGTAGGCTATTATTATTGTCATTTCTCAAAAATATTATAAAACAGCACTAATAATATTAGGCTTAAGTATAGGTCAACTTTTGGTTAAAATGCTAACATTTTAACCAACATACATACATACATACATACGTATACATACATACGTACATACATGTAAATCATACTTCCCGCACAATTCTCAAACAATTGTTTTGTGTATCATACTGAACGTTACTTACAACTTTATTAACTGTTATTCACAACCTATGCAGGTTCTGTTCACTTAAGTAGACAACAATCATGGACACATGCGTCCTTTCTGTGGTAAACACACAGCTCACGGTCAGCCCTATATGTGATTTTGTATCCGGGAATATATCATTAAGACAAAAATGTAATTTTGGGGTGAATTATACCTTATAAATACAGTATGTAACTCTTTTAACAACATTTTGGGTTGTGCACGTTGCTGAACATTACCTATATAAATCAATTTGAAGACTTGTGTGATCACTTTTATGCTTCTCTCCTGACCTGAAAACATAATTGGCTGAATCGTAGATATACTGGATTAAGATTGTGTAGTGGAGTCAAATTGAGATTGTTGGGGAATTCATTGTGTCTTGATGAATTTCTCATGAATGTATTGCTCTCATTTATATGCTTATTTGAGTGATTTCAGTATTATTTTCTATTATATTATTACCCATACCTGTGGCATTATTATCAGGTATGTGTGCTTTGGTAAATAAAAAAGTCATTCTGTGCAAATGCAGTCAGAGATAAGAAGATAAATTAGAAGAGCAGCATTAATGTCACAATGAGGGTTGATTTATGAAAGCAAGGCCAAAAGGACACCTGCGTTCTGTTCTGTAACTCATGATAAAGTGTACCTGCACGTGCGCCCACAATCACTTGTACTGGCATCTAAAGAATTATGAGCACTTATGAACTTCAGCTGAACTTACAGTTGACAGTTCAGTGGACAGTGAACAAGATATATTGTTGAGCATTGTTTTTTGGCTTAAGTCATCGCTTTTGAAGCAGGAAGGAAAGACCTTAACTGGACATGGGTAAGACCCCTGAAAGACCCTGAGATTCTATTGGTGGCGGGCACCTGAGAGATTTAAGATCCCATTAGCGGAGAAGCTGATGGAGGTGTGTAATGTGTAAATTTGGGTGGAGTATTAAGACACAGACATGTATTTAAACTGTGTGCAAGCCTATGTTCGGCAGACACTCGAACGACCTGTCTCTGTTGTTACTGATGCTGTAACAATAAACTGCTTCGTCTAAAGACTTCGGAGATCTCAGACTTTGTCATTTTTTGAAAAGTTTGACTTAGAGACTTAGAATATTTTTGCAGACCAGAATCTTTTTTCCACAACAAGATCATAATCTTTTTTTTCATTAATCGTGCAGCCCTCCTATGGGGGGTTTAATTTACAAATAAGACAAAACATTTTTATATAAAAAATGTAAATAAATAAATAAATAAACATACTCAGCTGGGTTAGACTGACTGAGGTTCTGAATCTCCGGTCAAAAAGGCCTTTTACTTTCCTCTTCATTTTTCTACGCGAGTCAAACTCATGCAGTCGCCCCCGTGTTTCATCTGCTTTAACCTTAAAAGAGATGGACATGTTACTACTAGTAGCACATGAAAGACTGCTTGAAGTAAAACACACATCTGCTTACCTCTTCAGGAGTTCCTGCTCTGCTTCTCACAGACTTCTTCCCAAATGATCTTTGCCTCCTAAATAGCTTTGACAATCCTATAGACGCAGGTGTAAATTGATTATTAAACACAAACTCAGATTGATGCAGTGTTATCAATATTACCTTTATGGTCATGGCTGTGATGAGGCGGCGTCAGATAGATCCGTCTGCCCTGCTCAGATGTTGACGTGTCTGGCATGGCCATAGACTCCACACTAGCCGAAAGAGACCGGCTCTGCTCCAAACCATAGGCTTCAAATTTCCTGCTTAAAACGTCATGAGGCCTTAAGAAATGTCCACCCTCGTCGAGCTTATAGAACGCCGGATTTCTGATCCCCATCGCCCCATCCATGTCCCTCTGAGTGTCCGTGAGCAAGAACGTGTGGCTAGAGGCTCTGGATAAAGAGTGCAGGTCATCCTCGTCATCGTCTTCCTCCTCCATGGATTCCTCGTGGCTGGGATGAAGCTGGAAGTCCCTCATTAAAGGCATGTTTGGAGAACTGGCACGGGATGCTTCCCCTGATCCATACATTCCCCTGTCCCTCCATCCAGTGCATAAGTGGGGTAAAGAAAGATGACAATCCATTGATACACCTTCTCTCGAATCGCCACGTAAAAGAGGCCACCGAAAATGACAATCCTCTTCCTCTGGGCTTCCCAATAGGCATTTGCTTCTGACCTCAAAGGGTCCAACGCTCGTTCCTGGTGGTAACTCCATTGAGAGACGCTGTCGGCCAGGTCCCAAACCTCTAAGCAGGGATGGAGGCATGCTGCGGTAGTGTTTGGGTGACGGGAGTGCTTGGCTCGGTGCTACACTTCCACCAATGCGGAGACAGCAGCTATGGGACACCTGCTCATGGCGGCAAGCATGTGGATGGCTCTGACCCAGACGGGCCACCTCTTGCTGTTGATTGTCTGTGGCTGAGAGGAGGTTTAGAGTGTCCACTGCTAAAGCGGACAAGTCCTGTAATTGGCCCAAGTTAGTGTCTAAAGTACGCAGATTGTCCTGGATGATATTGACCTTCTCTGCAACCTCAACTAATATTCCAGCCATCTCTTCAGCCCTAGAAACACAGACCACAGTAAACAATTTAGATTTCAAAACAAAGTAAAAAATCAGAGGCATAACTTGATTTTGTTTAATCAATTGTTAGACTGACTAAAACAGAACTGGTGTAATTTCCTGCTGCATGCAAATGAGGTTTGGGAGACGCACTCACTTGTCAGCTGCAGAGCGAATTCGGTTGATCTGACTGCCTTGTTGACTTTCCTTTTGGTCTCGGAAATATCCAGCAACACACTTCTCCTCAAACTCATACAACCGCTTCAGGTCATCGGGGGCAAGGATTAATTCTGTAAACATATTAGTAATTTTCTCACAACCTGTTGATTTTAAACACATGACTTTAAAAAGAAATAATTGGATTAATAATAAATACACAATTTTTTTTCTGAAATAAATCATTTGAAATCCTAATTATAAAACCGGATATTTCAATATATTTTTCAGTTTTTTTATATATAATTATTTTTTGGGGGTTTACACCTTTAAACGTTTAGGACAGAAGAGATTATTGACAGGAGAGCATGGGGAGGAGAGAGAGGGGAAGGATCGGCACTGGACTACGAGGCAGGAATCGAACTCGGGTCGCCATGAGCACCAGAGGAGTGCATGTGTCTACGCACTAACCACGACACCGACAATATTATTTATTTTAAATTGCCTTTTTATGTTTACAGTACTAATAATTATTTAGTTCTGGCCAAAAAAAAAACAGAGAAGTATTTCCATAGAATTGTTTTAAGCTATATAAAATAAAAAGTTTTTTTGTTATATACATCTTTGGCTGGCAATAGTTTTATTTAAAAAAAAAATGTTTTTTAGATTTTAGTTTTACATTTTTAGATCTAGGTACATATAATAACCCTAGAAGGTGAAGCCTGATTATTCTGTTTATATTAATATTATATTCGGTTTAAATATATTCATTAACTGTCTAAATTATATCTATTTTCCCAGAGATGGGTTGCGGCTGGAAGGGCATCTGCTGCGTAAAAACCTGCTGGATAAGTTGGTGGTTCATTCAGATGCGGCGACCCCGTATTAATAAAGGGACTAAGCCGAAAAGAAAATGAACGAATGAATGAATTATTGAATCTATTTCTTCAGCCTATTTTTGTAGAAATGCAAATATTATTTCAGATATTTAAATTGGATTGAATTTGACTTTTAGATTATCATGAAACTAACGTTAAAAGAAATTTAGGGATGCACGATATATCAGTGGTCATATTGATATCGGCCGATAAATGCTATTTTTAATGTTTTTAATATCAGTCAAAATTAAGCTGTTATCTTTAAGCCGATAGATTATGTAATTGTACAGAACTGCCTGCCTCGTGCATAGATCAAACTTGTTCAGACTTGACTGGTGCACTAAAACTGAGCTTTCCTTGCGTTGTTTATTCCTTCAAAGTCCATCCTTTCTTTGTGTGGTTTTGCTGTTCATTAACAACTCAGTAAGTAACCATATTCCCTCTCATTGTAGATATGCTTGATAGACATTGTGTAGTTTGGTTTAAATTGCCTCAGGAAAAATATTACATGTGTATAAATGAAAAATATATATTTTTTGTCTGTAAGACATTGTGTAGTTGGGTTTAAATTGCCTCAGGAAAAATATATATTTTTTGTGTGTAAGACATTGTGTAGTTTGGTTTAAATTGCCTCAGGAAAAATATTACAAGTGTATAAATGAAAAATATATATTTTTTGTGTGTAAGCACAAGAGAATCTTGCAGCAGTGTGGTGATAAGTGTCAAATGAACCAGCGTCTAACAATTGCACATTACTATAACACGTTTTATTCGAGAACATTTGAGGTGGTTTCAGTTATTAAGTTTTTTCATTTTACTTAAAATACATTTACTTAACTTGTTTGTTAATTAAATCCCGTTTTACCAATTATTTTTATACAACAGTCAAGTTGCATGTTTATTTGCTATGCGAAGAAAAGGAAATATTGTATTTCTGGAATGCTGATTTGTGCTTAATTTTGAATATAGGTATATGTCCCTTGCAATTTTAACTTTTTTTCTTTGAGTAGACTAATCTAAGATCAGTTCAGACTTTTATGAAGTTTTTCATTTACTATATAGAAATATAAAATTTAGAAATAATTATATTTATCAGCCTATATATCGGTTATCGGCCTCCAAATCTTAAAAGTTATCGGTTATCAATATCGGCCAAAAACTCCATGTCGTTACATCCCTAAAAACAATAAATAAATTACTAAACAATTTGTACATACATCTAAAATGTAACGCACATACATTGTACATTATCGTTTAAGAACCAAGAACTAGTAGTGTAGTGTAGGCATCCACAACAGATTTTTTTTGTCCCATCAAAACCAGTTTTGCAAAACAAAACACACAACCACACAGAAATACAAATCACCCACAAACACACACATACTCAGACCAGTTCTTCCCCTTTTGGATGCCTTTCTATGCTTTTGCCACATTGAGCTGAGACACAGAGTAATGTGACTGAGAAAGATGAGAGGAGGTGGCAGCCACGGCTTCTCTTGATAAGTCATGATGTAACGATAGCGGTTGTATTTCCACAGCTTACGGGATATGGTGCTCATTTCATTGTAAACATTGCTGTGAAGTGAAGAATCAGGCAAAGTAGGTTAAATCATCACAAAGCAACCAAGACTCAACAATACAGCGTATCAACACTCCGCATACCCTTGTGTATTATAGCTCAACTCACTAAATTATTATCAGCCAGGAAGCAAAACAAAATGCATGAGCAAACGAGACTGAAATGAAGATGAAATGCATACTTGAAGAAGGCAATGAGCAAATTGACCATGATGATGTACTGAATGAACAGGTAGACGGCCTGCAGGAAGATGGTGAGGAAGGCTCCCGGGACACAGGTTTCAGGATTAGCACAGGCTGACAAAACAAAATAGATGATCACAAACAAGGGAATATACGGTATCATGTTTAAGTCTTACAAATAATAATAAAATTATATATAGAACTGGTCATGTACAAGATGTGAAGGCTGTGGTATCACCTGACAACCAAATATTACTCTATTTTCTAAAATGTATGTACATTTTTTAAAAAATGTGCTGAGATTTCCAAAGAAATGATGCATAGACGATTCATAGACAAACATGTTAAAACATATATTAAATAATTATTTTTGTTTTTTTTGTTATAGGTATCAGCCAAGAAATTATTAGTTATTTCAGATGGTTAATCCACTGCTGCTGCAAACAAGACATCAACAGTATGGGAGTTTTTCACATGTAAAAAAAAATAGGACTTTTGTTTAATTATTATGGGGGAAAAGATCAAGATATTTCCTTGCTCTTTCTGTGATTTCTGCAGTCAACGGTTAAAGTAAAATCAGCTTTAATTGTCTGTGTTTGGTTTTTCTAGTCAGTTTGAGGAAAAAGTCATAAAAATATTTTTATTTACTGTCTTAAATTTTGATTCAAATATAAAGAATTATCCATATCAGCCAAAACTTTCATACCACTGCATGCCTATTCCAGAGTGACTTACATCATGTAGGCAAATCATGTTTAAAGCATGCACACGATTGGATTTGTGATTTGTGATTGAGAGAGTATTTGTATAAGACATTTACCACACACCACTCCACTCCTTGACATTCATAAATTTTGTTTATAGTGAATGGTACAGGCATTCATAGGCGCCATAGGCGTTCTGGTCTAAATAAGAAGGCGTATAGAGGCGCGTTGCTATTTTGAGGAACTTAAATAGAAGGTTCAAATAGATCAGATCAAAGCTGGTCTGTTGTC